CTCGGGGGCCACCGGCGCCCTGGACAACGCCCTCGTCTGGGCGGCCCCCCGCGGCAGCGAAGGAGCGCCCGGCCTGCATGCGGGGGGCTTCACGGCCCCGGACGCTCTCCTCCCTCCCGTGGCCAGGCGAAGGCGAGCAGCTTTCCAAACAGCGATCGCTGCACCCTGCTGCCGAGGATGACTGTGCCACGGGCTTCCTTAAAAGGCGGTGGGGCTTCTAAGAAGCGTTCTTAGAGGCTACAGGCGAGGCGAGGCGAGGCGAGAGCCGATGACCGTCCGCGTGTGCGCGGGGACAGCCTCCTGGGGAGGTCGGCCGCGGGGCTGGAGCCCCTCATAGGTCGCACAAGTGGTCCGTCCAACGTCTCCTCGGGCCGTGCGGACGTCGAACTGCAGCTTCTAAGAGGGCCCCCGCCTTCTAAGAAGCGCCTCCGCCCTCTCGCCGCCCCCTCGTGGGCGCCGCCACAGGATGGTCGCTGCACCGCGCGGGGGGGTGTCTTCTGCTGTAGCAGCAGGAGGAACGCGCGGAGAGGGTCGATCCTTGGCCGCCCGGGGGGGGTCGTCCCCGCACGATTCTTTTGCGAAGAGGCCCAGGGACGCACAGGTAAATTGGCACGAACCCCAGGATTCACAGCATTTGCCAATACTTTCTGGAGTTTCGCCACTCTCCGAACTGTGCCCGGCGGCACCCACAAGCCTCCCAAGAGGACCCTCCCAGTAAGGCATGTGGACGGCAGGTCCCCGGAAGACCCCCGAGGCTCCAAGAGGCCTTCGAAGGAAACCCCTCGACCCTCCTCAACAAGCCCACCAGGGTTCCAAGAGGCATCCAGAAATCACCTAGCCACCTGAAGAGACCAACAACGATGATGGAATACACGCGGGGTTGATTGGAGAGGACACGCGAGAGGACACAAGACCCTTCTGAGGGCCACACTGCCACAGCAAGAATGTAAAGACATGGGTTGTGAAACACTAGACACAAAGGTACCCTTGATTTGGCAGGGTCGACACACTAATCAAATCCCACCAGCCCTTTGGGCGTGAGTGGTTTAGCGAGCTCTCTCTGTTCTCAACCCCCCTTCTTCCCCTTCGGGGAGGGGTTTACCCCTCCCCCTACCCCCTCCCCCTGGACCTGGAGAGGTCCTTTCGCGGGTGGTTGGAGGGGTCTTTTTCGACTCCTGGGAGGGCTAAAAAACGACACCCCTCACGAGGATTCTGGCCCCGACGGGGGGACTGACAAAAATGCTCGCCCCATCTGTGATCGATCGCCCCAAAGATGGCCCCAACAGGCCCCCAAGACGCTCCAAGAGGCGCCCAAGAGGGCCCCCGGACGCTCCCAAGAGGCCCCAAGAGGCTCCCCCGAGGCACCCAAGACGCTCCAAACGGCCTCCAAGAGGCTCCCAAGAGGCCCGAAGAGGCTCCCCCAAGGCACCCAAGACGCTCCTAGAAGCCCCTGGGGCCGCCAAGAGGCTCCCAAGACGCCCCAAAAGGCCTCCAAGAGGCTCCCAAAAGACTACTACTACTACTACTACTACTACTACTACTACTACTACTACTACTACTACTACTACTACTACTACTACTACTACTACTACTACTACTACTACTACTACTACTACTACTACTACTACTACTACTACTACTACTACTACTACTACTACTACTACTACTACTACTACACTAATACTACTACTACTACTACTACTACTACTACTACTACTACTACTACTACTACTACTACTACTACTACTACTACTACTACTACTACTAATTCTACTACTACTACTACTACTACAACTACTACTACTACTACTACTACTACTACTACTACTACTACTACTACTACTACTACTACTACTACTACTACTACTACTACTACTACTACTATATCATCTACAGGACGAGGTGCCCGAACGCCTCACGCAACGAGGAGCCCGAACGACTCACACCAGGACGAGGGGCCCGAACGACTCACGAGCCCGAACGACTCACACCACAAGGAGGGGCCCGAACGACTCACACCAGGACGAGGCGCCCGAACGACTCACACCACGAGGAGCCCGAACGACTCACACCACGACGAGGGCCCCGAACGACTCACACCACGAGGAGCCCGAACGAGTCACACCAGGAGGAGGGGCCCGAACGACTCACACCAGGACGAGGGGCCCGAACAACTCACACCACGAGAAGCCCGAACGACTCACACCAGGACGAAGAGCCCGAACGACTCACACCACGAAGAGCCCGAACGACTCACACCAGGAAGAAGGGCCCGAACGACTCACACCAGGACGAGAAACCCCAAACGACTCAAACTACGAGGAGCGCTTTCTCTCCCTCCTCCTCCGCCTCGTCCTTCTCCCGCTCCCACCACAAGGAGGATGTACAAGGGGGCGGGAGGAAGGAGGAACAGGGGAGATAGGCGGGGGCAGGCGGAAACACGCCTGAAAAAACACGACTGTCGGCATGCTTCGCAAGAGTTGCTGTTTTGAGATGGGCTGGTGGGGCTACGCGAAGCGTGAAGAATTCGACTGTAACACTAAGGAAGTCCCGGGACACACACACACACATACTAAGATAGGCAACAATCCCAGGATTCCCCATGTCTTCCCATAGTTTCTGGGTTTTCGTCTTCCCCCCAACTTCCCGTTTCCCAGATTTTCCTGGGAGTCCACGATTCATGGTGTCTGTGCGATTTGTTCCCCTCCTGAAAAACATCAATGTAAGCATCCACTTTCGGATGGCCGAGCGGACATCCGCAAGGCTATGCGTGTGCAGGGCCTTGCTCCTCGAGGTGAAAAGAATGGACTCACACGGTCGTTCGCGCGGCCGTGAATCGGTCATCTGCCTGGCACGCACGGGCGCGCGTCTTTCACTGGGGCGGGGGAGCGGGGCAGTGACTCGTCCCCACGACGATGACCACGACGACCACGACAACGACCTGCGACGACGACCACGACGACCACGACCACGACCTGCGACGACCACGACAACGACGGCGACGGCGGCGGCGACCATGACAACGACGGCGACGGCGGCGGCGACGACGACCACGACGGCAACGACGACGACGACGACAAAGACGAGGACGAGGCGGAGGACGACGCGGAGGAGGACGAGGCGGCCTCCCGCAGCACCGCCCGCGCGCTCGCGAGCGCGGCCCCGGCGGCGGCGGCCCCCAGCAGCAGCGCCCGCCCGGTCCGAGCGGGGCCGCGCCTCCTCGCCGGGGGGCAGCACAGAGCGCACAGACCGACCTGGGAAAAAACGCTGGCGCCGGGGCCCCGCCGCCGCCGTCCGCGGAGGAGGAGCGAGGGGTCCCGCGACGCAACAGCGCACGGAGAGCGGCGCTTGTACTGAGCCTCGATGAACCCATCCCCATCCCCACCGGCATGGGCTTGGCCCCACTGGCCGACTTTCCCACCCACGTGGGGATACGTGCCTGCTCCTGCAGGTTTCAGCAGAGCCTATCCCCAGCCCAGGAGGGTGGGCTGCTGGGGCTGAGATACCATGGCCAGGTGGGGATGGGGATATGTCAGACGATGCTGACACTCGCAGGGCGGGCTCGAAACGGATGTCCAACGATGCAATTTTCCCTATCTTGGCGGCTTCTCTTTTGCGGCGGCGAGCGAGGGAGGGAAATGAGAAGGAGAAGGCCTTCTCGAAAGGCGGCGGGACTTCTCAGAAGCCCTCGCGCCTTCTGAGAGGTCTTCTGTGCCTTCGGGGAAGGCTCAGAAAAATGCTCAGCAGGCCGGAGGACGTCCGAACCTTCTGAGAAGACCCGCCCCTTCTCTCGTTTCCCCCACCCCGGGTCGCCGCCGATATTGTGCTTCGGCCTCCAAGACAAGTATTCTCTTTCGCTCCCAGAGGCCTCTCTCTCCTTGCCGGCGGTACTCTCTTTCGCCTCGCTCTCGCCTGGTGGGGGAGGCGGTCGGGACCTCCCTGGGGCCGCGCCCGGAAGAAAATCGCATCGTCGGATGTCTGGGGGCGGACGAAGGGGGAGGGGGGGACGGCAGAGTTGGGGACAGGGAAGCCTGACCGTCCCGATAGGCAACACGCAACCCGTGGCGTGCTGACACGGAGCTCCACACGTGGACTGCGAACGCACGTTGGGCGCGACACGGTCGCCAAAACGCGGGCCAACACGTGCCGAGCCAACACGCAGCGTGTCATCACGGACGTTTGCAACACGGCAGGTTCTGCGCTTCCAAACGGGCGCACCAGGGCAGCCAAGCAGGGAAGGGAATCAGCTGCATGCCGCTTTGCCAGCGCCCCCTGGCGCCAGGGGCGACGGTGCGCCCGAGGATGGGCCCGGCGGCGGAGCTGGAACCGGGCTGCACGCAGCAACTCTCGCAACCCCCCTTCCAGAGCCCCTTTGTCTCGTGGCCCCCCTTCCAAATGCCCCCGTCGTCCGACGCAGTTGGGCCTGTCGGACAGCCGGGCCGCGCGTCTTCCCCAGGGCTCCGCCGAGCGCTCGGAAAGGACAAGCAGCCAATATGGAACCACCTGGCGATCGAAGAGCCGCCGATCGCTGAATGCTGAGCCATTGACGCGGTGTCAGAAGCCAACACCGAGGTCGTCACGAGACGGCCGCGGCGCCCGACACGCCCTCCAGAGCCCCAGGATCTCGCTCGAGGCCTTCCAGCGAGGGCCCCCGTTAGTGGACAAGCGCGTTCCACTACTCGCCAAGTAGCTACTCGCAAATGGCCTGGCTCCGCCGCGGGGGACTTACGATACATTCCATGTTTTTTGTTCGGACGTTTGCGAGTAGGCACTCTGCGAGTAGTGGAACGCGCTTGGTGAGTTCGGAGGCACCTCCTGGGCGGTCTTCGCGGGAACGGCTACAACAATCGAGCCCGATGCAGGGGCCCTCACGCCAGATCAAGCCAGGCTGGGCCCAGGACTGAGCGGACTCGAGCGGGATGAAGCAGGACGAGGCTATGGGCTGCAGGCCAGCTCAGGGCGCACGTCCACCGCGGGTATTCCAGCGCTTCAACATCCCAAGGAGTCGTGTCGAATTGTCGGGGGGGAGACTCGGGATGGGGAAACCAAAAGGTACCGATACCGCTACTCCCCAGACCTCTCCCGGGGCGCGCTCTGACCAGAATGTCGAGGCGAATCCAGCGGTGGCGACGAGGGCCGCCCAGGAGGCCGAGAAAGGGGAAGACGAGGCAAGGGTAGAGGTATGGGTACCGTCTCCTCCTCCGACGGGATGCCCCCAGAGGTCTCGGCGGAGGCCTCCCCCCGAGGGCACGAGCCAGGCTTCGCCCGCGGACCGCGCACGGCTGGGCACCGCTTCGCCCAGCGTCGCGCGGCTGGTGGCCGCCTCACCCGAGCCGCTTCGCCAGCGGAACGCCTCGGCTCGCCGGCGGCGGCGAGCCGAGGGAAGAAGTGAGAGAAGGAGCAGGCCTTCTGAGAAGCCCTCGCGCCCTCTGAGAGGTCTGCTGTGCCTTCGGGGAAGACTTCGAGAGCTGCTCAGAAAGCCGGGGGACTTTTGAGCCTGTGGACGCCCGAAGTGGGTACGGAAGAAATGGGCACAATGCCCATTCTTTCCGTGCCCGTTCCGACCGCCCCGAGAGCCTTGTGAGCAGGCCCGCCCCTTCTCTCGGGCCGGGCGAAAGGGGGGGATAGCAAAGGGGGGGTTTGAGAATCAGCTCACGTGGCTGATTTTCCCAGCGCCTCCCGGCGCCAGAGGCGGCTATGTATCGAGGAATGGGCCCCTCGGTGGGGCCGAAACCAGCTTCATGCAGCAAATTTCGTAAACCCCCCTTTCCAAATCCCCCCCTTTCGCTCGGCCCGATGATCTCGCCTTCCCCCCCCCCCCCCGGCCCGCCGCCGATCCCTGGGAGCCGAGCGTCGGCTCTCTCGGTCACGCCGGGCGCTCGCGCCCCGGCGTCGGGCCTCGGAGGCCTCGTGGAGCTGTCTGGCCCGAGAGGCAACGGAGCTACGCGCCCAGAAGGCACCCAAAAGGCGAATGAGCCCCAGTTCGACGAACGACAGCCAGCCGAGAGCGCGCCAGGCGCACAGCAGCGCCAGAAGACCACGCGCGGAAATCATCAGTTCCTTCGCGCAAGTAACTCAGACCCGCCCCGAGACCTTGCCGTCGCCCAAGAGGCGGCGGGCATATGAACCAGGACTGTCCATCGATTTCGAAGCCATTTGCCGCCCAGGATCTTGGTTATAGCGCGGTAGACAGTCTCCTGAGTGGAGGGCAGAAAATCCGCCCCGACAATAACCACCCCGACACGCGAGACCTTTGGTAAACGCGCCGAAAAAAGGAATCGAACAGGGCAGGGCTGTTTAGTAAACGCCCAGGGCCGTTTGGTAAACGCCAATTGTCCGGTCCTGGTGGTCTTTCCTCCCTTGACTGAGGTCCGTCAAAGCAAAGCGACACCCTGGACACCCAGCAGTGATGTTGTCACGTGGCGGCTGGCTCTTCGGCGCGGCCACTGGAGGCCGCCTCCTTTACCTCGGGGGCCGTCGAGAGAGCAAGTCAGGAAGGGGGAGAGATACCCGCGGACCCCACGTCACGCCAAACGTGCAACGTCGGAGAACAGGGTCGATAGTCTGCGCTCCCCCCCAGCAGGAGGAGGCGAGAGGAGGCGAGAGGCGGAGGCTGCGGAAGCGGAGGTGTGCATGAAGGGTGTCCCAGAATGCGGTGCCCGCGACCACACTGAGCACAACTGGAGCATGGCCGAGCTCGTGGCCACGGGGTGCAGCGCAGCTGCTGTTCCCAAGTCAGGACCTGTGGAGCGCCCTGGCTTCGGAGGCTGCTGCTGGTGCGAGGCTGAAGCAGAGTATCGGCCAGGCGCGCTGAGCCCTCGAGTCTTTGCACAGCGTCAGGCACGTAGCTTTCCTCCACGCTCCCCTTTTGTCCGCCTCTCCCCTTCCACCTTCCCGCTCCCCCCCCTCCTCCCTGCCCGTCCGCCCTCTCCCTTCCCACTTCCCCTCCTCCCCCTTCCTCCGGCTCCCCATCCTGCCCCCTATCCCCCGTCCGCCCTTCCCCCCCCCCTCCCCCGCTGTCCGCCCCTAGCGGGAAGAGAGGCCTTTCGAGGTCCCTCGCAGAAGCACGAGGGACGGACGAGGGGAAGGAGAAAGGAAGAGTGAAACAGAGAGAGGGGGAGGAGGGCGAGAAGGGGGAAGACAGAAAAGGGAGAAGGGCGGGGCAGGGGGAAGTGAACCACGGAGAAAAAGAGAAAGCTGTGATGATGATGATGATGATGATGATGATGATGATGATGATGATGATGATGATGATGATGATGATGATGATGATGATGATGATGACGATGATGATAACGACGACGACGACGACGACGACGACGACGACGAGGAGGATGATGATGATGACGATGATGACGATGACGATGACGGTGATGATGATGATGATGATGATGATGACGATGATGATGATGATGATGACGATGACGATGACGATGACGATTACGATGATGACGATGACGATGATGATGATGACGATGATGACGATGATGACGATGACGA